AATAATAATAATAATTATAATAATCTAAAAAAACAGATAGATAACATACTCCAAAATCAACAACTAAATAAATGTTTACCTCTCCAAATTTTAAGTAACTGTAAGGTAGCATAATAAATAAAATGAAACCAACATTTGAGAAAGGGAAATCATTACCTTTTAAAAAAGAAAGTGCACCTGTAAAATTAAATATTCAAAATAACACTTCTATTTCAACTGCTTAAAAATCAAATCGGAAACCTCATTAGAATTTAATTACGAAGAATGAAATTCCTTTTCAATATGAAGAATTCACATTGTAGAGAAATCAAAATAAAAATGTTTAAACTGATGGATTGTTTGTAATTTTTAAGATTAATTATTTAGTGTTTAGTAAAACCAATATTTTAGGAATCGAAATATTATTAATCGTCATTAATTCATTTTCATTATGAACAAGTAAAATAAAAATAATCTCCTTATAAATATTATTTTGAATTAGAATACTCATCATAAAATGATAAATTGATGGAATATTTTAAGGAATTATTTTAAGAACATTTCATATAAAATTATAATTGTCTATAATATTGCAAGAAATACAGCTAAAATATTTAAAAGAATCATAAGTTTGAATTTTTGCCTGGGTAATCTCAAGAGATTCAAACATTAGTATTTGATTTGGATGAAACTTTAATTCATTGTAATGATAATAACAATGATCCTACAGATTATGTTATATAGATATAATTACCAAATGAAGGGACTGTAGAAGTATTTAAATAGTTTAAGAAATAGGCGAGGATAAATATAAGACCATTTTGTTAATAAATGTTAAGACTTTTATCAAGCAAATTTGAATTGATGTTATTTACAGCATCTTATCAATATTATGCTGATAAAGTACTTGAATTAATAGATCCAGAGGGAACAATATTTTAATATAGATTTTATAGAGACAGTTGTATAGAAGTAGAAGATGGGTTATTTGTTAAAGATTTGAGGATAATTGGGAATAGAAAATTAGAAGTAAAACAACAGATTAATATTTTAGAATATATTACTAGTTGATAATGCATCTTATTCTTATTGTTATTAATTAGATAATGGAGTGCCAATAATACCATTTTATGATAATAAATATGATAAGGAATTAATATTTTTAACAGACTATTTAATGGGATTAAAGAATTGTGAATAATGGGTAAAATAAAACAGGATGCATTTTCGTACTTATTTTTATTAAATATGTACTAATGGAGAAGAATGTTTAAAAGAATTATTTTAAGCTCATGATATTGTTTAAGATTGAAATGATTATTAAGTATTTAATAATGGTTATATATTTCTGTAAATAGGAATGGTTATAAAATATATTTATATATATATATTTTTAAATAAATTAACTCCGATTAAATGAATTATGAAAATAATACTTGAGTAAGTGATAATATTTTCAATATCAAAACTCTGAAATTTAATAAAATAATTAAGTTAATATTGAATGTTCAAATTAAGTGGAATAATTAAAGTAATATAAAATTGAGGATCCAAAATAAAAAGTATCAGAGTTTTCTCATCCCCACTAATTAGATAACAATGCTTAAATGTAATCTTGAAAAAAGTAATAAAATTAATGAAAATAATCAGAATTCATAGAGTGGTATGCAACTATTAATTATTCAAGGAATAAGCAGGTAATCATAAGAATGTTTATATGAAAGAAAAAGGAACTTTATAGGATAAACAAATTCAATAGGTATTTTTAGATGAACAAGGAAAAGAATATCATTTATACCTTAAATTAATGAATTGTAATAATATCTAGATTGATGCATTATATTAAAGAAAGGAGTCATTAAATTAGAGAAAAACAACATTATGAAAATTTATTTGATGAAAGAAATATTATAACAAATTTATGAATAAAAGTCTTAAATAGAAAAATGAATTATCTGAAGAAAATGTATTTCTCAAAAGAAAAAATTTCTAAAATCATTATTTGTTGAAATGGATACTAATTAAGATGGTTAAATAAAATTTTACTTTGAAGAAATTAATAAACTACTTCTTAATATTTTTTAAATATTTGGAAAAATTATTATAAGAACAAAAAAAATATTAGATTATGATGACTTTTTTTACATATAATTTCTGAATATCGTATCAATGTACCTTTAATTCAAAAGATGTCATTTTTAAGAAATCAAAAAAAACTAATTATCTTTTTAATAAAGCTTAAAATTATTCTTTTACTCCAAAAACCAATAAAAAACTAAGTCTATGAATATAGTGTGTTATCCTAGTTGTAAATGCAAAATTTGTTCACAAATCACTTGTTATATAAAGAAAATTAAATGATACTTGAAATATATATTTATTTACATAAAAATTAATAATATCAAATTAATTGTTCATAAATGCAATTTTAAAGATAAAGAATATATCAATTAAATAAAATAATAATATAATTATATGTCTGATAACTGTATTCAAGAAAAAAAATCGGCTTAAATAAATGAAGATTTCACCATAGATAATCTAGATTAATCTACAACAAATTAATCCAAATAAAGTAATGCAACACTTTCTATGGCATTTCCGAATGCTGAAAACAATTATAGGTACAGGCCAATCAAAACTTAAAGTATTTTTAAATTTTATGAAAGGAAGCCTCTTATCACTTAATCCTTAAATTAGTCAAAGAAGAAGTTCAAAATCCCTTATTGAACATACGTTTGTGATTGAAGAAGAAGTAAAAAAAATTTTAAATATTAGCCTTAAATTTAAGGGTAAAATGAAGTATTTCTAATTTTTTGGTATGATTAGAATATTGATCATAAATATGAGATAATTATATAAGCAAAGAATAATATTACTATTAACGATCTTATTCAACTTTTTATTTAACAATTCAATGATCAAAACTAATATCTATAAACTCCGTTTTCATCTGATACCCATAATACAAATATTTATGAATTGTATATACCAAAAAAGAAAAAAGGTACCCCAAATGAAGATTTTCCAGGTATTATTATTCAAATTAATTTTAGCCTTCGCTAATCAAACGTTGCTTAATTAAACCAATTTAAAAGAATTTTCTTTAAAGATTACTTAAAAATAAACAAATAATTATTCGACAACACTTTTAAATACTTAGAATTCTTCAGCAACTAAATCTAACCATGAATGGAGAACAAGTTAAGCCAATTCTAGTTAAAAAAAGAAGAAAAATTTTTTTTAGAAATTATTCTTTTGTTGCAATCAAGCAGAAGAAATTTGAACTTAATAACTTAAACTTGTTTAATGCATTTAAATAACAAATAATCTAAAAAATATCTAATATGATATATTTTTAATACTTATCATCAAATTATAGATGAAAAGTTTAATTTTGAATGCTTTTTATAACAATTTTTGTTTTAGTTATTTCTTTTGATGATATTAAAATGATTTGATTGATCATTAACCTATTGCAAAAGATTATTAATAATTCTTTTTTTTTATTTTTTGAATTAGTTTTTAATACAGTTTTAATTATAATTTAAAAATTGAATCTAAATATTTAGAAAAAATTTAATAATGAAGAATTTAATTAATGGAACTTTAGATGCATTCAACTTTTTCTTACGATTTAATAAAGTTGCAATAATGTAACAGTTAATATATTTTACATATTTAATTAAAATTTATTATCTTTACAATGAGTTATAAGATATAGAATTTTTAATTTTTAATTTATATAATTTATTTTAAATCTGAGAATTAACAAAATATAATATCAACATTAAATAATCGATGAAGATTTATGAAATTTTTTTGATTAAATTAAACATCTCTTAAATTTTATTATAGCTGATGATGCTTTAATTTCTTCATAAAAATAAAACCAAGATGGCCGAAGCAACAGAAAAGGAAAATAAATTCAGAATTGGTATAAATTCAATAATTAAAAACTAAAATTATTTCAGAAATATAAAAGACAATATCAAACTGTTAGTTTTTCTCATCAAAAAATATATTATTATTTTATTCATGTTAATTAAAAAAAATAAGAGCATCTTTTAGTGGAGAATTAAATCTAATAAAGGAATAATAATAACAATATTGAAATGCAATTCTAATAAATTTTTTGGTACAAATTTAATGTGCATTATTATTTTAAATATAAAATCAGTAACAGAATTATAGATAAAGACTTTTCCAAAAAAATTATTATTTTTATTGCTATGGTCAAATAAATTTTATTGATAATGGCAAATGGACTTTTACTTAATAATTCATAAGTTTATGTTTATGTTAATTGAACAAAAACAAGTTAATAAGGTGAAAGTTATTAATAAGTTTATCGAAATTGTAATTTAACAGATCTAAAAATAACTCAACTACAAGAAAATTTTTATTGAGGTTATATGGTTTAATAAATTGATATTTTTTAAAAGTAATATAAGCTAATTGAAATTTTAATTAATAAATATTTGATATACAAAATATTCCCACTTAATATTTTAATGTATTTTTATATATTGTTTATTTTGATTCATTCACAAGGATTTGAATTATTTATTGAAAAAGNTTCTTTTTTTTTATTTTTTGAATTAGTTTTTAATACAGTTTTAATTATAATTTAAAAATTGAATCTAAATATTTAGAAAAAATTTAATAATGAAGAATTTAATTAATGGAACTTTAGATGCATTCAACTTTTTCTTACGATTTAATAAAGTTGCAATAATGTAACAGTTAATATATTTTACATATTTAATTAAAATTTATTATCTTTACAATGAGTTATAAGATATAGAATTTTTAATTTTTAATTTATATAATTTATTTTAAATCTGAGAATTAACAAAATATAATATCAACATTAAATAATCGATGAAGATTTATGAAATTTTTTTGATTAAATTAAACATCTCTTAAATTTTATTATAGCTGATGATGCTTTAATTTCTTCATAAAAATAAAACCAAGATGGCCGAAGCAACAGAAAAGGAAAATAAATTCAGAATTGGTATAAATTCAATAATTAAAAACTAAAATTATTTCAGAAATATAAAAGACAATATCAAACTGTTAGTTTTTCTCATCAAAAAATATATTATTATTTTATTCATGTTAATTAAAAAAAATAAGAGCATCTTTTAGTGGAGAATTAAATCTAATAAAGGAATAATAATAACAATATTGAAATGCAATTCTAATAAATTTTTTGGTACAAATTTAATGTGCATTATTATTTTAAATATAAAATCAGTAACAGAATTATAGATAAAGACTTTTCCAAAAAAATTATTATTTTTATTGCTATGGTCAAATAAATTTTATTGATAATGGCAAATGGACTTTTACTTAATAATTCATAAGTTTATGTTTATGTTAATTGAACAAAAACAAGTTAATAAGGTGAAAGTTATTAATAAGTTTATCGAAATTGTAATTTAACAGATCTAAAAATAACTCAACTACAAGAAAATTTTTATTGAGGTTATATGGTTTAATAAATTGATATTTTTTAAAAGTAATATAAGCTAATTGAAATTTTAATTAATAAATATTTGATATACAAAATATTCCCACTTAATATTTTAATGTATTTTTATATATTGTTTATTTTGATTCATTCACAAGGATTTGAATTATTTATTGAAAAAGATAAGTAATATTTGATAGCAAATGAAAATAAAATTGATACAAGATTTTAAAAAGAGTCTTTGTAGCAAAATCAATGTCATCCTGCTAAATTATATATAGAAAATGCGAATGAAAAACACACTAAATTTATTTTTCACAACAATCAAGAAAAATAGATTACTATAGCAATCGAACCTCTAGTATATGATACTAATGTCTTAAGTATTTTGTACAATTCAAAAACAAAACTAGAAATGATTAATCCTAATGCACAAGAATAATTTATCCTTACTTTTGAATGCATAGCAGAAAAAGATTAAATTTCTTGGAGTTTAATAATATTAGATTTTAAAGTCTTCAATGATTAGAATTATGAATCATATCAAATTTAATTTTATAAATAATGTTAGCAGACAGAATAATTTTTACTTCCATTAATTTTATTATTGATTCTAGCTATTACATTATTAATAATAGGCACACATTATGGATTATAGGATATTAAAATGCTTGAGTCTATAAAGACTGAAGAATTTAATGCTAAGACATCAATTTTATTTATTTTATCTGCAAGTGTTTTGTTATTTTGTTTATTCACATTTCCATCTATTGGATAAATGTAAAAAATAATATATTTATTAGAGTTTTGAGCATAGTAATATTTTTTATGTCAATAATAAGTATTTAAATTATAACAGAAGATTTATTAAGAAAGTTTTTATAGAAAAATATGGAATTAAAAATCATATCATATTTGATTAGTTTAATAATTGTATTATCATATTTTTATACTAAAAATTGGATAATAAATAATATAGTTGCATTTTTAATAACATTATTAATGTTCAAAGTAAATATGATAAATAATTTTAGATAATTGAAATAGATAGTTTTAAAACTGCTACATTATTATTAATTTTAGCTTTTTTTTATGATATTTTTTGGGTATTTATAAGTCCTGTATTTTTTGGAACTTCAGTTATGGCTTAAGTAGCCACATAAATAGATTTACCAATAAAATTTATATGTCCATCTTTAATAATGTCACATAATACTCCATTATTGAGATGTTCAATGTTAGGTTTAGGTGATATTTTACTACCAGGAATAGTTATTAAATTTATACTAAAATTTGAAAATTTGATAAACAAAGGATACTATATGTACATTACATCAATTATTGGATATTGTGTAGGATTATTAGTTTGTATGCTTTCTTTAGTAATTTTTAAACAAGCATAACCAGCTTTATTATACTTAGTTCCTCTTATATTGATANCTAAATTATATATAGAAAATGCGAATGAAAAACACACTAAATTTATTTTTCACAACAATCAAGAAAAATAGATTACTATAGCAATCGAACCTCTAGTATATGATACTAATGTCTTAAGTATTTTGTACAATTCAAAAACAAAACTAGAAATGATTAATCCTAATGCACAAGAATAATTTATCCTTACTTTTGAATGCATAGCAGAAAAAGATTAAATTTCTTGGAGTTTAATAATATTAGATTTTAAAGTCTTCAATGATTAGAATTATGAATCATATCAAATTTAATTTTATAAATAATGTTAGCAGACAGAATAATTTTTACTTCCATTAATTTTATTATTGATTCTAGCTATTACATTATTAATAATAGGCACACATTATGGATTATAGGATATTAAAATGCTTGAGTCTATAAAGACTGAAGAATTTAATGCTAAGACATCAATTTTATTTATTTTATCTGCAAGTGTTTTGTTATTTTGTTTATTCACATTTCCATCTATTGGATAAATGTAAAAAATAATATATTTATTAGAGTTTTGAGCATAGTAATATTTTTTATGTCAATAATAAGTATTTAAATTATAACAGAAGATTTATTAAGAAAGTTTTTATAGAAAAATATGGAATTAAAAATCATATCATATTTGATTAGTTTAATAATTGTATTATCATATTTTTATACTAAAAATTGGATAATAAATAATATAGTTGCATTTTTAATAACATTATTAATGTTCAAAGTAAATATGATAAATAATTTTAGATAATTGAAATAGATAGTTTTAAAACTGCTACATTATTATTAATTTTAGCTTTTTTTTATGATATTTTTTGGGTATTTATAAGTCCTGTATTTTTTGGAACTTCAGTTATGGCTTAAGTAGCCACATAAATAGATTTACCAATAAAATTTATATGTCCATCTTTAATAATGTCACATAATACTCCATTATTGAGATGTTCAATGTTAGGTTTAGGTGATATTTTACTACCAGGAATAGTTATTAAATTTATACTAAAATTTGAAAATTTGATAAACAAAGGATACTATATGTACATTACATCAATTATTGGATATTGTGTAGGATTATTAGTTTGTATGCTTTCTTTAGTAATTTTTAAACAAGCATAACCAGCTTTATTATACTTAGTTCCTCTTATATTGATACCAGTGTTGATAGTTAGCGTGATAAGAAAATAATTTTATTTTTTATGGAGAGGATAAATATTTAAAACTTAGAAGTCACCAGGAATCTATGAGTTGTAATAAAGTGAATAAGTTTGATTTTATATTTATTTAATGGATAATATCAAATAACATATATTTATTAATAAATAGATATAGTATGATTAATAAACAAAAAATTAGGAATGTTAGTAGAATTAAAGACAAAAAATGATTTATTTTAAATAGTATGATTAATCCAATATTATAAGATTTTAAAAAAGGATTTAGAATAAGTTAGTGGTATATTGTAGCTATAACTTAGAACATTAAATTTTAATGAACTTATAACATTAGGGAACATTCGTTGTCAAAATTGATCAATTAAAGAATGCACTTAATTAAGGTTAAGGTTAATCATTATTTAAGTAGGAATTAATTCATCATTATTAAGATTATTACAAAACTAATTGATTATCTGATAAGAAAATGAAATTAATACATTAACTGATATTGAAAATATTTCTAATAAAGCTGTTCAATATTTCAAAATGATTATGGAAAAATATTCTTAAAGATTATTTAAAATTAGAGATACAAAAACATGAAGGGAAATTGGAATAATAAAATATCTTAATAAAGAAAATTTAAATTAAAGAAGATTAATTAGTAAATCAGACTATTAAAAATTTAATAAACAATAATAAATTAGAAGAATTTTATGATGAAAACCATAATCTCAATATTTACGAATTTTCAAAACATACTAAATTATTTAAATATATTTTAGAGCCAAGCAGATTACCTAAAATATAAATTTTGATGGGTATAAGAGATGAGTTTTAATTCCAATTATAATAATTAAAGATAATCTAATCAATCAAAAATAAAACTCAACTTTTTCAGATTGTCTAGTAAATAAAATCTTGAAAACATAAAATTATTATTAAAATTATTATATTATTTTTCCTCTTAATTCTATGTAAAGCCAAGCTTTACCAAATATTTCTGCAAAATCACCTTAATCAAAACTGAAAACATTAGATTCAATGTTGAATGGTCAAATAAGAATCAAATAAACAAAAGATATATCCTTTAAGACAGTACCTAATAATAAAACCAACATTTCATTTCTAAAAAATGATAAATTCGAAACACGTCAAGATGTAAAATGATATTTAATTTTAAGCAATACTATAGTTCACCCATATTAACAAAATCTTAGATAACTGAAGTAGAGTTATAAAATAGATAGAGTAGGAATGATTTTTATTCTTAAATGCTCAGTGAAAATCCTTACAAATATAACGAATATAGCGAGTTTGATCAAGAGTACAATAGAAGTATTAATAAATTTTAAACAATTAGAAATTTCTGATATAAATGTTAATTTGTTGGATATAAGAAATAAAGAGAAAATCAAAGAATTCTTATAGGAATCTGCTTCTTTTTCTAATTAACTATCTACTCACACATAAAGATTGAAAAAAGTTAATGTATTAACTCAAAGATAAGATGTTATTAAATTAGCATAATGGCTTGATTACTAAATTTAGCAAGTGGTTTCAAATAAAAAGATGATGTAACAATAATAACTAAGAGAAATTGAGAAGATATTTAATTTGAGTTTAAAAGAGTTAGTGCGGGAAATATCATTAGATTGTGTTGAAAAAAGGTATAAACTCATCAATAGGTAGTGTGCTACTAGAAAAAATATGGAATTAGTATGTCAATTATAATACATTCTTACTTAAATCATTAGATGATGAAAAGAACAATTAAGAGAATGAATATTTACAGTAACTCAAATCAGTATATCTATATATTTATATATTAAGTTACATTAAACATATTTAAATTCAGTTAAATTTTTGGAAGATAAACTAAGATAAATAGATGAGGAATTTAATTAATTAAGTACTAAATTTGAAAGAAAGAAATTTAAACTAAAGAATATTAAAGATAATTTTGTCAGCATTTAAGAATAAAAGAAAGAAATTGAATAAGAAGTTGAATATCTTAAAAATTAGAGAAGAGATTTATTAGAGATAAAAGAATCTCTTTAAAATTAAGTAGATAGTTTAACAATAGAAAATGAAAAATTATAAATTGCAATATATCAAAAATCTTAAGAATTAAGAACAGCAAAAACAAAACGTTATTCTTAGATATCTATAGATAGTTGTTTTAGTGAATAAAATCATAAAGGAACAACAATGGAAGATTTTTAATAAATGATGTCAATCAATAAAGATAAATATACTTAAACCTTCATTAATGATAAAACATAATTATCTACTGGAATATAAACTGATATTAAATTCATTTTTCATTAAGGTACTCAAACAGGTTTACAAGATGATGATGATAATTACTAATCATAAAATTAAGAAAATAATCAATATTTAAAAAGATTATCAGATTAAAAATATGATTTAGAAGAGAAACTGAAATTATGTAATAATATTATATCAGAATTATAAAGGAATAAATAACATTTAATAAGAGAATAAGAAATTAATACTAATAAATTAGCATCATAAGTAAATAATTTATAATAATTAGGAAATTTCATTATCTGCTCTATAAAAAGAAATTGAAAGATTATAATCTGAATTATAGGCTTTATTGTAAAGCAGATAATAAAAGAAGAGAACTATTGTTTCTCTTGAAGAAAATAATGGAGAGTAAATGTCATTAGGTCCTGTTAGAGAACAATAAAAGACTCCTTAAAATACATTAGATAAATAAATAGATAAAAATGGTTTTAATAATCAAAAGACTAAATTATAAAATTAAATTTAAACTTAAGAAAATGGAAAAAATGGAAAAAATGATAAAAATGATAAACATGATAAAAGTGAAAAAATTTAAGGTTAAAACAGCAATTTTACAAGTAATAATGCAAGTTAAAATAATTCATCAAATTAGACACCTTTAAATAAAGAAATAACTAATAATAATGTTTCCAAAATATAAACATAAAATTAATCTAATTCATAAAATTAATAAACTTAAAACTAATTACAATAAACAAAATAAGCATTTCATTCAAAGAAACCTTCTGATAATAATTCTAAACAAACTTCTCATAATGTAAGCCAAACATAAAAGTAAACTAAAGTTCAAAATAATAAGAAAATTAATATTGAATAAGTCAATCTTTAAGGAAATGGGCAATAGAATAATTAGATTAATTAAGGAGAATTAAAAATAAGTAAATATAATAAATAATTAATAAGAAAATGATGTTAATTAATTAGGATAAGCAGAGAAATCTTTAGAACCATAAAATAAAGAATCTGATTAATTGAATTCCTCTTAAATCAGAAATACATTATTAAATTTAAATGAAGTGAATAATGAAGATGAATAATTTGAAGAAAATCTATTAGATTAAAATAATAAAAATGAATATGCTTTTAAAAGATCAAGTACTAAGAAATTATCATATAAATTTAATAATTCATAATCAAATTCTCAAAATAATTCAATTTATGTTAATTAGCGTAATTATATATTATATTTTAGTTTAAAGAAAAGGATCATATATAACACCTGTAGGTCCAGAAACTAAAACTATTAGAGATAAAGAGTAATAGCTAAAAGAAACAGCTTTAGAATTTATTAAATAATTTATTTAAACTAACAAGTATAACATAATTATAAATAGTTTATAACATCCAGAGAATATAGAGTAGACTATGCAGTTATAAAATGTTTTTAAATTGATTACATAATTTTATAAAGAAAGATTAGAAAGAAAACAACCAATTTATGTTATATGCTATGAATTTTATATGAATACTTTTGGTTTAAAATAAATAGCAGAAAATAAATTAACAATGCTTTGTTAAGCAGTAATATATTTTAGAAACATTCCAAGAGTTAGATTATTCTCTAGATTTTTGTAAATTTAGGATCCTATTAATGATGAAGATTTAGAATTTTATTTCTCAACTTTATAACATTTAGATTTACAACAAAAATCAGAAAATTTAATTTCATGCACTCCTAATTAAGATTGTGTTTTGGTTTCTTACGATAAAGCTTTAGATTAATTAGCAGCACTTGATGAACATCTTGTTGAAATTCAATCAAAATTTAAGTCTTAGATCTTAATAATTAATGGATCTAGATTTATTGATTTAGATTTATTTTTTATGGAATCATTACAGTAATTCTAATTGATGAAAAAAATTCATTAAGATAATTTTAAGGAATTATTTTAAGCTGTTGATATTAATGATGATAATTCAATTAGTGTTGAAGAGTTTACTATTCTTTTTAACTTAATTGAACAAGAATTTTAAAATTAATAATTATTTATTCAGAAATTTATTGAAACCTGTTAAAATTCTGATGGATTGTCTTTTTATTAATTTGGTATGTTTTGTATGTCAAACTAATTATTTCAAAAAGAAAAATAAGATGTATTTTTATAATACAATTCTGATAAATTTAAACTATTATAATTAAAATGGAATGAGTATAGAAAATAAATGACCTAAAAATTAAAAGAAAATTTAGTCTTTACAGAGTATTATCAGAATTTAATTCGCAAACTTGACAATGTAATTTATAATATAAATTCATAGGCACTTAAAAATGATCTTTCATATTCTTGGTTACTATGGAGAATATTAGACGAATAAACTAAAAGACTTACTTCTTAAAGTAAATGATGAGATTACTTAACACTTTTTAAATGTTTCAATAAAAATTTATTATTTCTTTATTCTATTTTATTTCTTAGATTAAAAATAGTAATGTAAACATTTAATATTCAATTAAAGTTCATTCAAAAAATAATTAGCTAAAGATAAATTTATTCATAGTTGAATTTCTAAGTCAATTTATTTAATAATATTCTGAATTATAATTTCTAAAAATATAGTTGAGAATAGATTTATAAATAATAAGGATTTATTCAAATATTTACATTCCATGGATCTAATTATTCTTCATTAACTGAGTGAATCCGAAAACGAGGTTATCTGTCGATTTTATTGAGTTTTGGTCTGCAATATTTTTACAAATAATTTCTTCTTAATTCGTTGAAATCAGAGTTATCCGAAGAATCACAACTAATGGAACTATCTTATGAATTTTTCTTTATTATAATAGGTTTTGATAACTTTTGTTCATCAATTGATTATGTCCTTATATTTATTGTTTTCATAATGAAGATAGGTTTTTACAAGCGCATTGATGTATTTACAGATGAACTTTCATGCACTATTATATTTTTGGTTTTCTTTTAATATAACTTATTTAGATTAAGTGGTATTTTTATTTATTTTTATAGGCTTTAAGTGAAAGTTAAATCTGGAATTTTCTTTCCAAAAGGATTGGTATTACATGTCTGATAATTTCTCCTCAAAGGCTCTCTTAAAGGAAATTTTTTATATCTTAACTATGAATCCAAAGGTTGATCAATTTAAAACATATGAAATATAATATTAATAAAATCAAAAATATTGTTACTACTTATTTATTGAATCAGATTTTTATATATTTATTAGTAAATGTTCATTAACAAGATTTTAAAACATTATGCAAGTTTGTAACTGAAGATTCGTTAAATCTTATTTATAAAATAAAGTATTTTTTAACTTTTTTTTATTTTAGTTTATTACTATCTTTTTCTCCATCTTCAAGAAATAAATATAATCAGAGAACATTGATTAAAAATTAGTATTTCATCTTCCCTATTTATTTTATTCAAAAAATATTTTATTATTTTAATTCATAGACTTGATTTTGTTATTTATAATTAAACTGAATCTACAATTTTAAATCTTCAATGATAAATTATTTTGTTATTTCCATCATTCACTTCTAATCATTTGGTGGTTTATTAACCATTTATTTCTTTAATAAATATTTAATATAGTTCTTTTAAATTATAAGAAATTTAGTTATTGCATGTTATTAATAGGGAGTTACTTTAAGGTTAATTCACTTACATTAACAACTTTTATATAAAGTTCTTAAAAATTTATATAAAATTAAATGAATAGCTCTCTTTTTTTATGAGGCTTTACTAAACTAAAATCTGTTAATGTGATGTTCTTTTCGAATCAATATATATATTTTTAGGCTTGATATTTTTCTTATTATGCAAAAAACAAGAAAACAGATTGCATAAATTACTTTTAACTTTTAATTTGTTATTCTTATAATTTTTGAAACTTTTTGAACGTCCTTTAAGCTAAGACTCTAAAAACTATCCAAATTTTTGGTTTTTTGATATTTAATTTATTTTCTTGCTTCGTAGTTACAAAGTTGATTTTTAGACTGCTCAAATTTAGTGAATAAAATTTTTTAAAATGATTTAATGAAAAACTAATTTTATATTAAATAAAAGTAAAATGTTTTTGAATTAAAAATTGTAAAATATTTATGACTTTGGATGATAAATGCCTTTTATCAATGACTAGATGAAATTAAATGAATCTAAATTAAGAGTTTTATACATAATGCTTGAAATAGGAAATAAATTTAGGATTTGTTTTACAAACAAAAAATAAGAATAATAAGTAATTTTCATCCTTTTATTATAAAGTATCAATATCATTATTGTTACTTATTTTAATATTGGAATGAAACTAATAATTTAGTATAAATATTAGAAACAAAAGATATTATTTATAACTTAATTATAACATATCTATAGCTTTTTTATTAGGAATTGATTTTCATTAGATGATGATTCAGTAGTTCTGTATAAACTATACACCCTTAAAATAGGTTTCATCTGAAACTATAAAAATTAAAAATTTTTCTATATTTAGATAAAAGTAAAGTAACTTCAAGAATAAATTAAATGAAAATTTGTATTACTTGTGTTGATAAAATAAATTTACTTTGAAGTAATCCATTTAAATTGGTATTTTGGATAAAGATTTTTTAGATTTCTGCAAAAAATAGTTTATTTGTTTAAAAATGTCATTATTAGGTATTTTTGTAGTTAATTAGATTTAGAAATAAAAACTTTATAAAGTATTTAAAAAGATTTAAAGGATTGAGTTAAAGTAGTATTCGAGTAAGAGTAAAAAACATAATGCTTTATATAAAAATTAATGTAATTCTAATTTAATTGGTTATTTTTCTCACCACCTAAAACACCATAATATAATTAGTAGAGTTTTGGACCTAATTTGATCTTCATAAATAGCAACATTAGAAAAGTTCCTTGTTTTATAGAGAAAGGCACTTCAAACATTTGGATTATGTTTTTTCATGGAAATAAATAAGACTTGTAAATAGATTGATTTAAAGAATAGATATGGAGCAGTTGAATTTATGAAATAAGTAAAAAATGCTACAGAGAAAGATTTTAATATAATGGCAATAGAATATCCTACATATGGGCTTTATAAAGATGCTGAACTAACTGAAGAAAATATTTAGTAAGATGCTATTGCTGCTTTTGAATATATTGAGAATAAATATGAAAACTCATAAATTTACATTATGGGCCGGTAAAATAATTGATATTTTAAAGATCAATGGGTTCAGGTCCTGCTTGTTATTTAGCTAATCTTCAAAAAGGAAAAGGTTTGATTTTAATTTCAGCTTATGCTTCATTTAGTAAAATAGCTTATGAACATGCGAGCAGTTTAGGAGTTTTAGTTAAGGATAGATTTTAGAATGCTATATATGCAAAAAATATTACAATTCCTACACTTTTGATTCATGGTATGGCTGATGATATTATAAATTACACATAAACAATCGATATATATAATAAGTAACGTTTATTATAAAGTAGTTTACGATCGATTATGAAACCTATTCATTTACCTCAAAATATGACTCACACAAATTATGATATGATCAAAGATATATGTGAACCATTACTAGATTTCTTTGATTTAATAACATATAGTTGATTTAATTTAATAATTTTATTTATGATATAGAAAAGCTATGATGGTAGAAATTTATAATAGAAAAGAAATATTAAATTTAATTTGCCAATGATCTCTTTCTGTTGATGGAATTTGCTTTATATAGGTAAATAACTTTATGATTATTTGTTTAATCTAAGGAAAAAAGCTTTATGTTATTATTTTCATATAGAAAATATAATTAGAATTGTTAATTGAATATTCTGTTTCAACATTTAGTAATATTTGAATCATAAGGAAGTTCTAAATTTTATAAGATTATTCAATGTTTGTTGCAAATCTTAAAGAATCTTTTGGGAATCTCTCATAATCTTTAATGAAAATAGATATTAGAAATAACAAATTTAGTTTTTATAATAATTCTAAAAGTGCTGTTTCAAAGAAGGATATTCTAGTATCAATCACTTTAGACTAACTTAAAAGATTAATGTTTTTGGAATTAAGAGCATCAAAATTATAGTAATAAGAAATGGATTAATTAAAATAATTAGCTGTAATGAAAGCAGATGAAATTTATATTTAATAAATATATTATTAAACTATGTTAGTGGATGATGAAAGAAGAAATCTTTAAAAATTAAACAAAAATAAATAGATTTTTGAATATTTACGTCTTTTTATATTATTAAATATAATAATTATGCAATAAGCTATTCCAAGTTTAACCCCTGAAATCAAAGAAAGACTTGAAAACTAAGGATATAAACCATTTAAATATAGACCATTACCCAATTATGCTAATCCTCATACACTCTCATGTATAAAAATTTATTCTAATAAAGATTGGCTTACTAATGCTGGCCTTGGTGCTCTCTGTCTTATTGGAAGACATTATGCATGTTAATAATAATCTATTAGAATTTTATGGTCAGCTGCTGCTATAGCTATTCCACTTTATGCAATTGCAACTAATGCTAAATTAGACGGCTTGAGATAAAATAATTTTTATAGGTTTTATTAATCATTCATTTTTTAGAAAAACTTTAGATGATAGACTTGAATTGCATCCTTTAACTAGAAGAGCTTGGGAAAGAGCAAAACAAACTCATAAAGAATATCAAGATTAATTAAGAGAACAAATAGCTACTTTAGAAGCTGAATTGAGAAAATGATAAATCACAACCAAAATAAATATATTATAATTAATTACATCTGTAGATTTTAATATAATAACCCTAGATCTTAATCTTACATCCAAATCAACTATTATATTTAATATCTTTAATCAAATTCATAAATATCAATTCAAAAATCAAAAAAAAACATTTCATACAAACTTTTCTGTTTCAACAATCAACTAAATTATTCTAAAATATTAAACCAATATACTAGATAATATTTTCATCGCAATTAAGGACTATAATATTAGAAAATATTGGCTTTCATATATTATTATTTTTCTAATTGAAGATTCAACATAGAAAAAATAATTAATCTCTCTTCATATAATTTATGCAAAACCTTATCCTTTAATATTTATTAATCTTAATTCTAATATGTATTCTTTTTATTTATACTATTCAATTTAATCTAAAATCTTGCTATCTTTCAATATCAAACTTTTACGATTTATTATGAATCATCAAATTCTCATCTAAATTTTGACCTGAACAAATTCGATGCAGAATTTTTATTTGATATAAAATTATATTAACCATAAAAATTAAGAAAAATCCTTAAATGTTCTAAACAATTCAGTATTTGTTACCATTTCTAGACCGACAAGATGAGTACATTCCAGCCAAAATAGAAATTAATAGATTAACAGAATTGGAAGCAGTATAAATATGACTATCTATTTATTAGTGTATGAAGAAATTAAAAATTATTCAAACAAATAACGAAATTTATACCAAATAAATTCAACGTAGATAATCAATCGATAGATATAAGTAAAAAAAACGATTTGGGAATGCGTTATAGATATATTAAATTCGCAAAATTATTGCTGAAAGGAGATTAAGAATAAATGGGTAATTTTTAACATAAAGCGAATCGGAGAAGATCATGTTAGCTAGGAATATTCTAGGAATAAAATAAGTTCAAATAAAAAACAATAATGTGAAAATCAAAACTTCAAATGAAAACCGAAAAGAAAACCTTATTAAATTTATTGAAAAATTTATGCCTAATTAAATTTTATAGAAAATATAGAATAAATAAAGAATATTCAAAATTAAATGAGTTTCTATTTTTTATAACTAAAATTTGCAAACTATAATCCTTTCTTATAAAACATTATACCTAAATGAATACTTTGTTTAGAAAAATTAAGTTGAGTTTAAACTTCTTCAAATTAACTATTTTTTCCATATTTAGAATTAATTATAATATTTTAGCTTTTAGGGATATTCTAAATTCAGATTTACTATTTTTCAAATTCATTATTCAAGATTTATCAAAAAGGCAAATTAATAATAAATATGAATATATAAAAAAATTTTCAATAAATTATAAGTATATATAATTTACTATAGTAATTTTAGCAACTCCATGGTAGATAATTAAAAAGTTTTAATGAATCTATATAGGTTAGTGCATTATTCGCAAACTTCCATAGATGTTTTAGTTTTTTACAAAATTACAAAATTAAATGATAAATAGTTGAAATTTAACTATAACTTCATCTATATAGCTAATAGTTTAAACTATTTTAAGAATATTATTCATGATGTTAAACAACCATTTAAGGAGAAAATATTTTATAAAAAAAATATTTACTAAGGATTTTTATTATTTTAATTTTATATTTTTATGTTTTTTACCACTAGAGTTTATATTCAAGAATTTATAATAATTTATTGATA